AGTGCTTACACGCGTAGCAACTGTTTTTTTATTCTAGAATTTACTCCCTTTTGAGTCGGGGTGCATTGAAGCTATGTCGGGCTATGGAGTTCGAAGATTCATCGGATTTTTAGTATAGACAAATATTGTCATTGAAAGCGTTTGAATCTAAAAGTAAAGCAGGCTGTGCTGATTTTATATATATTGAACTACCGAAAAATCGGTAAATTCGGCAACACTGTTTTAGAAAGTAGCTCAAAATGTGTCCTTGATGCTTGTTTTAGTACTCTTATTGCCTTCTACGTCACGCATTACATAAAAATTTTGGTGGTGGCAAAAAAAAATTATTTTATACCACTTGTGAACCCCCTGTATCATAGACCACGAGCCGCCGCTGCTCTTTGTTGGTTTGGGTACTCGCCACAGCACAATGGAGGCAGATACTTTTTCAAAGTAGTGCATTCTCACCTTGTTCATTGCGAATGTTGCGATTAATCCTGAGTTGGGCTTCGACCGTCCACAAGATGCAACGTTCGGTCGACCATGCAGTCATTGACCCCAAGATAAAATTATAATAAAATTTAAGATTTCAACAGAATAATTAAATTCAGAGTAAAAAGCGTGGGGTGCATTTTACTACGTAACTCTCCTCTCATAGATGGTTGCCAACAGAATGATTGTAACACTTAATATATCACGCTCCCCGCGCTTTTTACTCTGAATTGGATTATTTTGTTAATAACTTAAATTTTATTATAATTTTATTTTGAGGTTATTAATAATCAGATCAAACGAACTTACCTAAGTGATGTTCGATCTTGATTATATGAAGGCCTCGTCGAAGTAAATAAAGATGTGTAGTATCCATGATTTCGCCCCGAACGACCACACTATTTAAAGTAAACAAACCCCCTCCCTGGGCTCCTCGCATCTCCGTCGCTGGTACTCATCGCCGGAATTCTCAGTCTTTTTTAAAGGTAATGTTGCAACTCTAGCTCATTAGGGGAACTATCGTAGATAATCAGGGTAGGTATTGGGACTTTATTTACTTCGACGAGGCCTTCATATAATCAAGATCGAACATCACTTAGGTAAGTTCGTTTGATCTGATTATTATATGAAGGACTCGTCTCGTAAATAAAGATGTGTAGATGTTTAAAGAAAGTTGCAACAGCTCTCTTTTAGTCCTTTTTATTTAATTTTGAAAACAAAAAAGGAACAAAAAAGGAAACATGAACCCCAGTAACAAACTAACATAACCCTAAGTGGATAAATGAACTGATTTATGTATACTAGCTATACTAATCTTTTGTTGCCTAAACCTAATATAACATTAGCAAATTCTTGGTTATCTAAGACAGGTCTGTTATAGAAACGAGCAAATGTTTGAGATGTCTGAGACCATATTGCTGTTAATCGGATAGCGTCAAAACTGACTCCTGCTCGAGCAGCTGCTGATGTTGAAGCGTGTCGAGTGCTATGAGATTTAAATTGGTTGGTATCAAGACCACTTGCTTTTAGAATATTTTTTGTCCATCTGCTAATCGTTTGAGATGATGCCTGGTGATGAGGTTTTTTGTATGTAATAAAAAGAAAGTCGCGCGTATTTCTCAATTCTTTAGTTTTTTCTAAGTATTTTATGAGAGTTGTCGCTACGCAAATTTTTGCGTCATGAAAGAAGGGAAGAACAAGTAAGCGGTAACGGACAGCATTTACTGGTGAAGCTCTCTTGACTTCTGGATTTATTAACACTCTGACTGCCATGTCAGTCTTTTTCGACTGACAACAAAAACCCAACTTGCGCCGTGGTCATATCGTGCATTCCACTGCCGCCACGCCGCGTGTTGTTTTGGATGGTGAGGATACGATTATACGTCGGATGATGCATATTCAGTGTTTATTTAGCACTGAGCACGTATACGTCACGTTTGTTGGTGTTTCCAGAATCGACTGACACGGCGTGGAAGTACAAGATATTTTTTCAATTTTGTTGCCTCAATAACTAACATAATGTAAGTATTGTTTAGATGTGTGTAAGTATGTTTGTGTGTATGCGTATGATAAAGTTTAAATATTCGAAAATAGAAACATAAAATATCTTTTTTTACAGGAGTTGGAATTTGACAAAGCCACTTGCTTCTCTAGAACTTCAGCAAGAAGTGGATAAAATAACCGAGGAGGAGGGGGAGTTCACGGATTTTTACGACTCCTCAGATGTTGATCCCGATTACAATAATTCTAGCAGCGAGTTGAGTGGTGAATCCAATAATGAATCCAGTTCATCAGATGATGAATAATTAATACAGGATAAAGGTCACGAACCCGAGCCGACAGCATTAGATCCCTCAATTTTGTTTGGTACGACGACTCTGGGAATCATCAAACATTTCAATTCGCCGGTAATGAAGGTATTCAAGTCGATGTAGCAGACAATTTTACACCCGTCAAGGCCTTTCAACTATTTTTTTCGTTTGATCTAATAGCTCTCATAGTGGAAGAAACAAACCGCTATGCGGAATTTACAATTTCCAATACAAAGCTAACTCGGAAACCAAGACTAAATCAATGGAACCCTACAAATGAACTAGAAATTCAGAAATTTGTTGGTTTATATGTATATTTGGATGGGTCTAAATACTCGACTCTTACATTATATTGGTCCACCGATGTATTATATAAAAATCAAGTATCTCAGGTATTATCAAGAAATCGTTCCGAAATGCTTTTGATGATGATTCATTTTAGCAGCAGGGAACACGAGAAGAACAATGATAGACTCTACAAGATCAGACCTGTTCTTGATATGTTGAATAACTCTTTTCAGCAGACTTATACAGTTGGAAAAGAAATGGTAATAGATGAAAGCATGATACCATGGAGAGACAGACTGAAATTTCGCCAGTACATACCATCCAAGAGTCACAAATACGGGGTAAAACTTTTTAAATTATGCAGTCCAAATGGTTATACATGGAAATGTCTAATTTATACTGGCCGTAGTGAAGAAGTGTCCTGCTGGACTTGGGATTGGTGAATCTGTCGTATTGACCTTGACTGAAGGATTATTGAACGAAGGAAGAATTCTGTATACTGACAACTTTTATACTAGTTGTCCATTAGCCAGAATTCTTCTAACCAAAAGTACATTTCTAGTAGGTACCCTTAGACGGTCCAGAAGATACCTCCCAAAAGATGTCACGACCAAGAAGCTCAAAAAACATGAGTACATTGCGCGAGAAACTAATGATGGGATCGTCGTTTCCAAATGGAAAGATGCTAGGGATGTACTTATGTTACGGAATTGGCATGAGAGTTCCGCCACCTTCAAGTAAACGAAAGAGAGCATTTTCTCCAAGCTGCAGTAACGAGGGGCCCACTCCAACAAAGAAACAAACAAAACGCCAACATTAAAACCAGACGCAATTATTGCTTATAAGTGTGGCATTGACAAGTCCGACCAAATGGCGTTCTACAGTACATGCAATCGACGAGGCATCAAATTGTACCGAAAGGTATTTTTTGAGTTGCTGAGGGGCATGTCGATGGTAAATGCATTCAATATATACAAAGAACATTCCAAACCTAAATCAAACATAAATAAGTTTAGAGAAGATGTGGCCAGGACTTTATTATTTGGAAATAATGCTAGTATAACCAACCTAACAACTGTAAAAGCTGCACATTTATTGAAAAAATCAGAGGAGAAAACTCGAAAACAATGTAAACTTTGCTATATCAATCTAACAAAAGGAATATCAAGAACAGAAGCAAGAAAAAATGGAAGAAAAGTACGAACATATTGCGATGGATGCAATGGGGAAACCTGCGATGCGTCAAGAATGCCATATTAAAAATCATAGTGTCTAAGTTATCTATTTTTTCTTGTTAGTACAATAAGTTTGAAATAAAAATGTATGGTTTTTCTTGCTAATACAATAAGTTTGAAATAAAAATGTTTGGTTAATTTACAATACCTGGAATTTTATTTAGGCGCCACCAGGTTTTTTAGACTTACAAAATCAAGTGCCGTGATCCAAATGGAGATTAACAATTCAATCTAATGTCAGTCTAAACAGCCTGACGAGGCCAAGTATGATTCTGGTGCTGTCAGACATAAATGACTGACGCCGCCAAATAATGACTAACAGTATGTCAGTCATAAACGAGTGACAGCACAACATGAAACAAGAATAAAATACATAGTATGCCGGCAGTCAGAGTGTTAAGGGGGGTTGAAGTTCTTGACAATTTTCTGGGGGGAGGTATTTTTTGATCAGAGTCTCTTTCGTCTCTGCTGATAATCCAGTTGTAAGGATCTTTGACCAACAAGCAGCCAATACCGGTTGGATTGCAGCAGAAAATATTTTTTCCGAATCTCCTTCAGCTGTGAAAATGGACATAATGGTATCTGACGGGTGTGTTGGAACCTCTCCAGTTTGTTCAGGCAGTATGGCTGCTGAAAAAATAAATAACATGTGATTGAGGAATAGGTGCCACTCTAGACAGTAGTTATAATCCAGGCCCCGAAGAAAAAAAAGGCAAAAAATACATACAGCCACACGACTGATAAGGTGACTACCACACTAGGTAGAAAAAACAGCAAGACAGGTTTTTCTGTCACTCTAGACAGATGGTTAGATTGTATGTGGGTGTTTCTCTGTAAAGTGGTCAACTCGTTGTCTCCTACCATAATAATATAAAATAGAAGAGATTATTATTTATTTCATTACTATTTTCGAAACATAATAATCTAGTCCACCTGTCCTTAGTATGAATTATCTATATAAACTACTGTTAATATTCTAAAAACATTGTTATAATGCTCAAAAAACAGTCCTCTGATATGTCACCAAAGCGTTGCAATGGCTTCTGATTCAGGTATTGAAACAAATAAGTTTAGAAATCGACTAATTCAAGTATTAATTTAAACATAATACAGTCGGCATTACTAACAATGCTTATTTTTTCATTTATCTATTAAAAAAAGAAAAAACAGATTAGTTTGAGATGGTCACACCATATAGCGATCAGTCCCCTGTGTATATTTCAAATGACGTGGCATAAAGCCTAGAACGCAAAAATATCGTTTTATTGCGTTCAACGAAACGCGAACAGAGTGAAGTTGACGCGGTTGCTACCAGAGCGGCCCTGAGGCCATGTTCTTCAGTGCTGCACACGTGTTGCTCCGAGTTACCCGCGTCAGAACCTAAAAGCCTACAGTCCTCTGGTAAGAAATATTTAAATTCCTTTCTGTGTTTTTAAGTCATATTTCACATAATGTACTTTATTCAAATATATAATTTTCAATTGTATGCATCAAAATAAAACAAATGGATACTGTATTGTGCTACTTATCAATCTAATCTAACTGAACAGTCCCGTGGCAACAGTCCCCTGCATTTAAACAGGACAGGGGATTGTTCTTACTTCCAGAGGACTGTCCTAATGTGTATGCAGCATTGTTATAGGCACAATATATTATTACAACATGGCACCAAGGAAGAAAACACAGACGAAGGAGGAAATTTTACAAAAGAAAAGGGATGCTGAATGGAAAAAGTACGAGCGCCTCAATGACGACCCGCAGAGAAGGGAAGAGCTAAGAGAAAAGGGACACCTGAAATACCTTAAAAAAGAAAAAGAAAAGGGGACTAGGAAGCTTGTTAAAGATATGACGCCACGAGGTTACCGGGAGGCTAAAAAGAAATGGAGAGAGCATTGTTCTGCTTATCGGAATAAGAAGAAAGCGTTGACAAATATAACTAACACTTATCTGCGAGAAAATACACCAGATTCGGGAACATCGCACTCATCCCGACCAATAACACCTCAAGATGTTGATATGTTCAAAAAAGGAATTAATAGGGAGAAGAAACTTAGATATCAAATAAAAAAGAAAAAAAATGATAAGATTAAATTACTAAAAAGAAAATTATTGGAATATATAAAATGTGTTTCGAGACTGATGAAAAAGGAAAGAAAAATGTGTAAAGATACTAACTAGCAGATAGTCCAGAAACTAAGAAAGATCTAGTAAAGAAGGCATTGTTTGGTGAGGTGTTAAAAGAACAATTACAAGAAAACTTCTCAAACATAGAAGCATTGATAGAAAAAACGCTTTTGACCAAAGTAGTATTCAGAAAACTAGTGGAAAAATACAAATTATGGCGTATGGAAAACACAAAAGTGATTAATTACAGAAGAATAAAAAAAGCAACTACTCGGAGGACGCCTCGTCGGAAAATTCTATAACTCTTTGGACTTAAAATCCGAGTCAGTTGTGATAGTGGTGAAACATCTAAGCTGCTTTTGTAACAAAGGGCCTTCACTTTAACATCGGAAAATTAAACTATGAAAATAAAGTTAAACTAACAGTTGCTGAAGAATTCACTGACTCAGAACCTGATGAAGCCGGACCCAGCTCTTCCGCAGCTAAAGCACTCATCAATGGAGATTACATCCTAGTCGAATTAGTCTCAAAAAATATGCAATATAGATATGTAAGCGTAATAAACAAAAACGATGAAGATGGGGAAATTCGAGTTACATTTTTAAAGCTTTACGATAATAAAGGTCAAACATTTAGAATGGATCCGGACGATATAGCAGATATTACAATGGATCAAGTGATAGAAAAATTACCTAATCCAAACATACTTTCAAAGGGAAAATAGACTATTTTATACATTTGATCCACCTATTAATGCTTTTGAAAAACGTTAAGCTTCGTAAAACTAATGGTTGTGTGTAAAAGACTGATTATGTTACCTTAAGCTTACACAGTTTTGTACCTGTAACAAGAGTATAATAAAAGTATTATTTTTTTCGTAGTTTACCGAAGAATTACTATAATTGTTAATTTCCAAGTTTAGAGAAAGTAAAATATTTAATTTTGCTAATATATTGGTATTTTTAATTTGAGTACACAGTCCCCTGCCATAACTGACAGTCCCCTGTGTCAATAATTTAGAAAACGCTCAATATTTCCTAAATTATGACCTATATTTTTGGGTTCCCCATGGTTTGTCATTAAGTTTGAAAGGATACATCTCCTAAGTAAGATGTTTCAAACATTTAAGCAAAAAAGTGGGCAAGACAGTTTTTCCAAATAAGTTGACCAGTTTACAGAGAAACGCCCATGTACCACTACCACTCTAGGTAGGTGTACCACTACCACTCTAGGTAGGTTACTAGCACGATACACATACACTGAAGATAGGATGCTGCGCATGGTGGGCGGTCCTTAATTGACGCGTACGTCACTTCGTGACGTCACTCACAGCGTTAGTTGGGATTATTTACATGCTGATTGTGTTGTTTTGGTGTATTTCGAGTGTGTGTCTGTATTTTTAAAGCTATTTTGGTCAATCGATAATTAGTTTCTAGACTATACGTGGTCACAAAAGTACCAATAATGCGTTGTTCCATTTTTGGGTGCAATTCCGACAACGAATCTAAAAAGAATCCGTGCCCAAACATCAAGTTTTTTAGTTTCCCAAAGGACCCCATTATATGTAAGAAGTGGTTACATGTTACAAAGAGGAAAGACCAGCTTAATGTAAAAACTGCTGTAATTTGTTCCAAACATTTTTGTGAAAGTGACTATAAAGTGAATTTAAAACATATTCTTTTAAATTACACTCCTAAAAACTATCGTGGACTCACAGATGATGCAATTCCTTCTCAAAATTTATTCCAATCGCAAACTGGATCCGTTTCATCGCCATCAACATCTGGGAAAAAGCGAAAAGTTTTGTATGAAAAAAGGCAGAGGAGAAACCTTGTTAAGGAAGTACTGAAAAACACAAACACCGAGGCAAACACGTAAGTTTTATAAATTTTGATTAGAACATATTAATATTGAGCTAGTAACCTTTATGTGTTAAAATAGGGGAGAAGAAATGCCTAAAATTGTTGGTAATGACAGGGATGATAGTGATACTGGCACTGGTCAAAATGTAGATGGAAATGTATGTCAGAGTATGGTGACGGAGTTGTGTAGTACTACTTCTGATACAGGGTGATGGTTTACTCTTATATGTTTAATTTCTTATTTATTTGTGTTTGTTTATTGTTTGCTAATTTACTAAATTTTCAGAGTTCAAACAAGTGATACGTATGAAGGTATGGATGAACTGAGAAGTAAATTGTTGTGCGTATCAAAGGAAAATGAAAAACTAAAAAAAGAGCTTGCTGGCGTTAAAAGGGTGTTTAGTGGAAACCAAATTAAAAAAATGCACAGCCAGAAGAGAACTAAATGGGCAGTAAGTGAAATTTCAAATGGTATAACGATGTATGCTGCTGGCCCAAGAGCATACCGGCTTAGTTTAAAAAGAGGTTTTCCATATCGAGCAGTCTCGACACTCAAGCAATGGCTGAGAAAAATAAAATTAGATCCAGGGATTTTAAAACAAGCCTTGAAAATTGCCGAATTTGCTGCTATGACTGAAAAAGATCGTGTCTGTAGTATAATATTTGATGAAATGAAAGTTCGAAAGGAATATCAGTATGACCAAACAAAGGACTGTGTGATGAAACCCTTTGATTATGTCCAAGTTGTTCTAATCAAAGGTATCTTTAAGCAGTGGAAGCAGCCTGTATTTTATGATTTTGATTGTAAAATTACAGCTCATATTTTAAAGGAAATCATTAAATTTGCGGAGAATTCTGGTAAGTGTAATTGTCCTGATATAATATAAAATATTCCTTATGCAATACTTTATAGGCTTCCATGTTGTGGCCATGGTGTCTGATTTGGGCGGTGCAAACAGGGGACTTCACAGAGAATTAAATATATCTGAGTCAAAACCACATTTTGAAAATCCTGCTGACAATGAGAAAATTTTTGTACTGGCTGATATCCCTCATCTTATAAAATTAATCAGAAATAATTTCGTGGATCATGGTTTTTTAATTGACAAAAAAGAAATTAAAAAGGAAATTGTAGAGCAGGCAATAAAGGCAACCAGTGTTTCCGATTTAAAAATTACCCACAAAATTACACTTGAACAACTTAATGTTGCTGGGCCTCAAAGGCAAAGGGTAAAATATGCTGCCAAACTATTTTCACATACTATGTCAAGTGCAATATCTAGATGTGGAACACTTGGATATTTAATTTCTGAAAATTGGGTAGAATGTGCAGAATTTTTTAAATTGGTATGTCATTAACACTGAATAATTTCAATTATTATTAAAATTATTTTATGTCTGTAGGTTAATGACTGGTTTGACGTCTTTAATGTTAGCATCCCCATAAGTGACTCACGAACCAGAAATAGAGCTTATGGCTTAGCCCTTGAAGATCAAGATGCCATTTTAAATAAAATGTCTAGTGTAATGTCCCATTTAAAAGTAATTGGCAGTCGAAGCCAATTACCATTTCAAAAGGGTAATGGATTAAATTTATAAAATATTTATACTAAAATATCATGATTTAATTATTTTAGGTATTCTGGTTTCTAATTGTGCTTTGCGAATGCTTCTGGAGGATATGAAACGTCGTTTTAATACTCAATACTTGTTAACCAGGCGCATAAATCAAGACGTTATTGAAAACTTTTTTGGTGTGATCAGGGCAAAAGGTGGTCTTCATGATCATCCCACTCCTCTAAAATTTAAGTATGGATTGAGGTCTTACATTATGGGAAGAAACGAGGGTGCATATTCGGAGTTTTCCAATGTGGAAGCAGACGATACCCCAGATATTCCACTTAGCGGAGCTTAAAATATAGCCATTACAGATTTTGTGAAACAAAAAACTCATACGTAATCATACAATCATAACCGATTTTGTGTAGGAAATAACTCATATAATTAGTTATGTGAGAATACTCTGAACTTGTAGAATTAGATTCAGGAGAAGTTACGTTTGTCGCAATGTCGTACTGATCTGTAGAATTTCTGTCAGAACTGCACGAAGGAGTATTTGCTGAATAGGCGTTGTGTGAATAGTTGTGGCATTGTGGTGGAGGCATTTGGTAATTGTACTGCTGGTCTGCAGCTTCCATGATCACTTTCATTATATTTATTTTAGTTGCTGCTTTCAAACGTTCGGGTACGCGTTTAAAATCGTTTAGCAACGATAGTAGAAAGTGGCGGTCTGGGTCATCGTCATTACTAGATATATTTTGTTTTAAAACGCTTATAAGCTCTGCACCTATGTTTTCACCTTCTTCTGTGTCATTAGTCTTTTTCTTCTTCCGCCTGGGAGTACTTTGTATTGTAGTCTCATTTGGTCCTGTCTCCTCAGTATGGTCTACTTCGTGTACTTCAGTATCATGTTCTTGTGTTTCATGTCTTTCTTCAGTGAACTTGTTATCTCTCCTATTCACAGCAACAACGTCTTTCAGAAACATAAGGTGGTTGAAGTAGATGTAAGTGTAGGGTAGCACCCGACCCACTTTTAAAGTGCTGACCTTCTTAAGTTCTTTTACGAAAGCGTCCCGAAGATTTTTCCACTTTTTCTGCAGTGAAATACCTGTAATAAAAATAGTTTTCTTTTAGAGATACCTCGCTTCGGGATGCTCATTTGCTGACCTACACTACAGCTATCGACTGGGAAGAACTACAATCAGTGAAATTGTTAATGAAGTTTGTGAAGCAATTTGGATCAATCTAAAAACAGAATGCCTTCCGACACCCACAACTGAATCTTGGTTGGATATAGCCAAAGGCTTTGATTCAAGATCAAATTTTCCCCACATTATAGGAGCAATAGATGGTAAACATATTTGGGTAATAAAACCAGTTAACACTGGAACGCTCTACTATAACTACAAGCACTTTTTTTCTATAGTTTTACTAGCAGTATGTGACAGTAATTATAAATTTACATATGTTGATATTGGGGCATATGGTAAATGCAGTGATTCCTCAGTGTTTAAAGATTCTGATTTTTACAAAAACCTAATGAACGGCAATAGTAATATACCCGAGGACGCAGTAATGGAAGGCATTGAAGGCAAAATGCCTTATTTCTTGGTTGGCGATGAAGCATTCAGT